GTCCAAGGAAGGTCTGGATCCAAATATTGCCTTCCTGTACCGACAGGGCTGTGAGACCTTCAATGAAGAATCCAGTCTTCCAGTTCAGGACAAACCTCATCATGAATAAAGTGAAAAATGGGGACATCTCTTTGCATATGTCCAATGTGCAGCTGTCTGATGCAGGAATATACCAGTGCAGGGTATTCTGGGAGAGGAACGCTGAGCTCCTTACAACACTGGAGCTCGTTGTTGGTATGATTAGTAAAAACAAAAACAAAACTGTGCAGTTGCATTATAGTCTACAAACACTTTTAATTTTCATATTATGGAGAAGGGACATTACAGACAGGTTTCATTTTAATTCAAACTCTTTTTTTAACTTGTATATATGTAAATGTGTACATTTTTGTCTTCTGTTTTTTTTACTTGTGGTTTGGGTTTTATTCTCTTCTTATATTGCTGTGCACATCAGGGGCCAATGGGCTTTAGTGAGATTCCTTGTATTTTTGATAATACTTGGCAATAAAGTTTATGCTTATACTGCAGTATATGATGACAACTTTCCTTTAGAGAAATGGATTTAAGAACTGTTCAGTTTAAAAGCAACGGTTTTCTGTTGCATATAAAATCTAGATCATCTTTTGGTTTATTCAAAACTAGACTTTTTACATATGGTTGCTTGTTATGTATAAATTAGTGTGCGGACTAGTGGGTGCTGTGGTGTAGGCAGCTCGCTGAAATGAGTTCTTCAATGGGATGTTTCACTTGGTGACAATTTGTATATATTCTGATGAGAATTAGTGAATGTTTTTATTGTCATTATCTGGGTGGAGTGAGTCTCTGATTATGTTCTCTGTTCTTTTGCAACAGCGCTGTGTGGATATTGGCTCTATAGCAGGCAGTTCAGTCCCAACGATCCCAATTTCCATCAATAAAATGGATAAGTACTGCTGCACTGACTCCCAGAAATCAGGATCTGCCCACTTCCGGCCTCTGGAGAACAGCAAAAGTCTGGGATGTGAGGTCTCAAGGTCGCAGAGTGACACCAGAACCTCGGACAGCACATTCACAAGGATGAGGGAGGTGGA